AGGAAGGAAGGGAGGGAGGGAGGGAGGGAGGGAGGGGAAAGAAGAGGAAAGAGGAGGAGGAATAAGAAGAAGGAGGAGGAGGAAGGAGGAGACAAAGGAAGCAAAAGAGGAGGAGGAGGAAGGAGAAGGAAAAAAGGAGCAGAAGAGAAAGAAGAGGAAAGAAGAAGAAAATTATACTGGAATTAATGGCAGATTAAATACTATAAAAGATTTGTGAATTGAAGGCACAGAAACTATTTGAAATGACATACACAGAGGAAAAAAAGGAACAAAAATCATGAACAGGGCATCATTTAGATGTGGGATAACCCCCAAAAGTCTAATAAAGGTGAAATTAGAGTCTCTTAAGTCAGTGGGTATGCAGAAAAATATTGAAAGAAATAATGGCTGAACATTTTAAAAATTTGATGAAAATTATAAATCTTCAAAGCCAAATGGACATGAAGAAAATTAGACCAAAGTACATTGCTCAAAACTAATGATAAAAAAAATATTAAAAGCAGTCAGAAAAAATATGAGACATGTTAGATAATATAGGAACAAAGTTAAGGATGGAGCAGATTTGCCATCTGAAATAATGCAAGCCCCACAGTTGATTTTTCAGGAAAGATGGGTAATATACAACAAAAATGTTACAAAATACATAGGGAACAAGGAATCATGGGCAGAAAATTTAAAAAGTACCATGTTAAAATAAGGGGATAATACATCTGAAAAATATCAAAAATCTATAATGTACTTTGGAGCCATATTGGGATCACATCATGATTCTACTCTACATTAATAATTTTTTCATGTTCAGTATGACAAAATCTCTATCACATATGAGGAAGATATCCTCCAACTTGAAACAGATTTCCTTGGTGCAGAGTCCATTTCTTTTGCATAATAATTATGTTTATTCAAGTAAAGAATTAAGAACTTCCTATTATAAAGGATGAAATTTAAAAAAAAAGATAAATGAACTGGGTGTGGTAAGGAGTGTGTGTAATCCCAACTGCTCAGGAGGCTGAGGCAGGAGGATTGCAAATTTGAGGTCAGCCTGGGCAATTTAGCAAGACTGTCTCAACATGAAATTTTAAAAAAGAATGGGGATGTAGCTCACTGGTAGAGCATTTTCTTAACACTGAGGCCCTGAATTCAACCCTTCCTATGTGGGGAAAAAAGATACATGTTCTTTGATCTTAAGGAGCAGTTAAGTAGAGGAGGCAAGTAAATATGAAACAAAAAACCATGAAAGAGAATATGGAAGAGTGATAATAGAAGTTCAGAGTGTTATAAGAATATATTGAGGGGCTGGGGATGTGGCTCAAGCGGTAGCACGCTCGCCTGGCATGTGTGCGGCCCGGGTTTGATCCTCAGCACCACCTACAAACAAAGATGTTGTGTCTGCCGAAAACTAACTAACTAACTAAATAAATAAATAGATATT